CAGAAACATGACTAGAGCGGTGCCTCTTTCCTGAGCACGGGTGGGCTCGGGCTGTGCTATGTCATCACTGAAAATAATTTGAAAAATGAGGATTTTATTTAAAAGAGGTCTGGGTCGGGTTAGGCAGAACTAGGGTTTGGGCCCACGAGATCCCGTCTACAGTCCGTAGATGGGATCCGTAAGTCACTCTCACATTTAGAAAATTTAGAAAACTTACCTGGGATCTATGGACGCCATTCACGGTCCGTAGAATGAACCATAGACCGTCGATGGGGTTCGTAGACCTCTGCAATAGACTTTTTCTGTATATTTTACTTTTCAACCCTGCACATGTAGCAAACGTTAGGCCTTTCTTTTTACCTTTTCTGGACACATTTTAGGCACGGATCCTATGCTATATCAAGCCAACACTGAAACAAAAATAAAGCACCTATCTAAAGGTATACAGAAAAACAAATAAACAAAGAAAACTACCAAATCGAAAGGAAAAACCTATAGTTGGCAAGATTGTACATCTTGGGTTGCCTCCCAAGAAGCGCTTGATTTAACGTCGCGGCAAGACACAGGCCTCTTGGTTACTCAGACTTCATCAAGACAATAGGCCTCAACAACTTCTTGCACACTTTCCACGTTTCCCAGATAGATCTTAATCTATTGCCCATTTACCTTGAACCTTGTTCCCTCACTGTTTTCAAGCTCCACCGCTCCATGTGGGAGCACTTGCGTGACTAAGAATGGCCTGGTCCACTTGGACTTGCTTGCCCGGAAACAAGCGCAACCTAGAGTTGAATAGAAGCACAAGATCACCCACAACAAATTCTTATTTTTCAATCCTTTGATCATGATACCTCTTCATCTTCTCCTTGTACAAAGATGAACTTTCATAAGCTCTTAGGAGAAACTCATCAAGCACATTCAAGTCACTCATTCTCTGATTTGATGCGATGCCCCAATCTAAATTTAGCTTCTCTATTGCCCATATCGCCTTATGCTCTAGCTTTACCGGCAAATGACAAGACTTCCCATATACAATTTGGTAGGGGGACATACCTATGGGAGTCTTGAATGAGGTGCTATAGGCCCATATAGCATCATCAAGCTTCCTTAACCAATCGGTTCTATTAGTATTCACAGTCTTAGCCAAAATCTGCTTGATTTCTCTGTTGGACATTTCAACTTGCCTAATAGACTACAGATGGTAAGGAGTGTCCACATTGTGGCGGATGCCATATTTTTCAAGTAGTGCCTTAAACAACTTATTACAAAAGTGGGAACCTCCATTGCTGATAATCGCTCTAGGTGTATCAAATCTGGGGAAGATATTCTTTTTCAAGAATACGGTGACACTTTTACCTTCATTGTTGGGAAGCGCAATTGCTTCCACCCACTTCGACATATAATCAACCGCAACAAGAATATACTTCATCCCATGTGAACTCACAAATGGACCCATAAAATCAATGTCCCATACATCGAACAACTCTATCACCAATATAGGATTTATGGGAAGCTCTTGCCTCTTTGAAATCCCTCCTTATCTTTGGCAATGGTCATAAGACTTGGCGAAATCATGAGCATCTAGGAGGATGGTAGGCCAGTAATACCCACACTACAAGATTTTATGCACAGTCCGAACACCACAGGTGATGAATGACACACCTCTAGTATACTCAACATCTCAACCTCGGGAACACATCGACGAATAATCCCATCAGCACAACTACGATACAAGTAAGGCTCATTCCAGAAGAACTTCTTCACATCATGCATAAACTTTTTCCTTTGGTGAAAACACAAATCCGATGGCACCAGATCACTTGCCAAGTAGTTAGCAAAGTCTGCGAACCAAGGAATCAGATCATGAGAAGCAGCCATTACCTGTTCATTTGGAAAAACATCATTAATTTCAGCCCTATCACCAAGCTTTAGCATAGCTTATTCCTCCAATCTAGGCAAGTGATCGGCAACTTGATTTTGTGTCCCTTTTCTATCTTTCACCACAAAGTCAAACTCTTGCAGCAACAACACCCATCTAATCAACATCGGTTTTGCATCCTTCTTATCCATCAAATACCTTAATACAGAATGGTCAGCATGCACAATTACCTTAGTACTAAGCAAGTAGGATCAAAATTTCTCGAATGCGAAAACCACTGCAAGAAGATCCTGTTCAATCACTGTATAGTTCTTTTGAGCCACATTTAGAGCTTTGCTGGCATAGTAAATAGGATGAAGAATCTTCTCTCGCCTCTGTCCCAATACCATACCAAGCACCACTCCACTCGCATCACACATTACCTCAAACGGTTGTCCCCAATCCGGTGAAATAATGATAGGTGTAGTAACTAACTTCTCCTTCAACTCTCCAAATGCTCTCAGACAAGCATTATCAAAATCAAACTTATACTCCTTTTTGAGCAGTTTGCACAATGGATGTGCAATTTTGGAGAAATCCTTGATGAACCTCCTATAGAACCCTACATGCCCAAGAAAATTTCTAACACCTTTAACAGAGATAGGTGGTGGAAGCTTTTTTATTACCTCAACTTTTGCTCTATCAACATCTATACCCTTCTCAGAAATCTAATGACCCAGAACTATCCCTCATTTCACCGTGAAATGACACTTCTCCTAATTGAGCACAAGATTGCACTCTTCACACCTTTTAAGCACCTCGTTCAAATGGTCCAGACAATGATCAAAAGAGTAACCTACCACAGAGAAATCATCCATAAATACCTCAATAGTGTCCTCCACCATATAAGAAAATATCGACATCATACAACGCTGGAAAGTCGCAGGAGCATTACACAACCCAAATGGCATTCGTTTGAAGGCGAAAGTCCCATAAGGGCAAGTGAATGTGGTCTTCTCTTGGTCTTCCGGAGCTATGGAAATCTGATTATAGCCCGAATAACCATCAAGAAAGCAATACCAACCCTTACCAGCAAGTCGATCCAGCATTTGATCCATGAACGGCATAGGGAAGTGGTCTTTTTCTGTCCAAGCGTTCAATTTCTGGTAGTCCATGCAGACTCTCCATCCAGTCATGTGTCGCATCGAAACAAGCTCGTTTCTCGCATTAGGTACCACAATAATCTCACTTTTCTTGGGCACACACTGAACATGACACACCTAACTACTATCGTCAATGGGATAAATAACTCCAGCTCCAGCCACTTGATGATTTCCTTCTTAACTACCTCTTGCATAGGCATATTTAGTCTTCTCTAGTGCTCAATACTTGGCTTGTGATCCAACAAGAGTTGAATTTTATGAGAACAAATACCAGAAGGAATCCCAATAATGTCCGCGATAGTCCACCCAATAGCTCGCTTAAACCTCTTCAATACGGAAACCAACGCCTCAACTTGTGCCACATTCAAATCTGCCGCAATGATGATTGGTAAAGTACCATCTCTCCCCAAGAATACATACCTCCAATGTGATGGTAGAGCCTTAAGCTCCAATTTCAGCATCTTCTCAATAGATGGTGTAGCAAGTGGAGAATTGCGATTCTTCCTGTCTAACTCCAATCTCTTTGGTTTTGAATGAAATTCAAACCTATCAAGAGCAGCGACCAATTCATCATAGTCTTCAATCCCATCACCATCAAAGTTCATCATTACCGTTGCTAGCGCATCAACACCCAACCTTTCTTCAATGGGCACCTCAAAACCACTCTCTACAATATGTGTCACCATAGATACCGATTTGAGCTCATAACTCTGTTTCATAGACCTTGAGATATTGAAAGTTGCCTCTTCATTGTTCAATTGAAACTTCATCTGCCCTTTCTCCATATCAACCAAGGCGCTCCCAGTGGCTAGGAATGGTCTCCCAAGGATAATGGGAGCCTCAAAATCAACATCACAATCAAGTATCACAAAATCTGTCGGAAAGATAAAAGACTCCACTTTCACTAGTACATCTTAGAGCACAACAATATGGTTCTTCACAATTCTATCGGCCATAAGCAATCTCATCGATGTCGGTTTTGGATCCCCTAAACCCAACTTTTTGTAAATAGCCAATGGCATCAGATTGATACTAGCACCCAATCGCACAAACGCCTTTGCAAAATGTAACAACCCAATGGTACAACGAATAGTGAAAGCGCCAGGATCCTCCTTCTTCTGCATAAGGGAACTTGTAGCAATAACGCTACAATGTTGCAACTTATCATCATCTTCAAAACTCACGGCCTGCTTTTTAGTTAACAAGTCCTTCATAAACTTCGCATACCCAGACATTTGCTCCAAAGCTTCTATCAATGACACATTGATGGAAAGCTGCTTCAACATATTAATAAACTTGCGGTATTTACCTTCTTCAGTATTCTTCACTTACCTCTGTGGGAAGGGAGGTGGAGGTCTAGGCATGGGAACAACTTTTTGGGCTATCTCCACTTCCTTCTCTGTTGGATTCTCAAGCTCTTCATTTACCTCAATCACATCATCAACTTTACTAACCTAAACTTCAACCCCAGACGACATAGGTGGATCGATGGTCTGCTTACCTCCTCGAGTAGTGAGTGTCATACAATGCCCATCATTCTTTGGATTTAAGATGGTGTTGCTAGGAAATGTGACAGGTTGACGTGGGTTTACTATAGTGGACAACTGAGTCATCTGCTGCTCAAGATGCTTAATTGACATTGCATGGGCGTCAACTTTTTGACCAATACTAGACAAGTCATTTAGCATCTCCTTCACATTCTCATCAATCGAATCAAACCTCTTAATCATCTTCTGCATCATATCCTCAATACGTGACATATTACCTCCAGCTTTCCTATTACCAGATTCCTAATTTTGAGGAGGAACATAAGGTCCAACCCGATCATTTCTGTTGCCATAATTGTTTCGGTTGTAGTTGTTATTGCGATTGTAGTTCCCATCCCGAACATATTGACCTTCTTGGTTGTAGTTGCCATAGTTCCGACCTTGGTTTCCTTGCCCTTGGCGCTAGTTATTCGAGTTGGAACCTTGGGCATTGGCTCAGAAACCCTCCGTCTGATCATTCACCAAATAAGCATCCTCCTCGTAGTAATATTCCTCCTCTGATGGTGTTGGAGTCTTGGTCAAGTAATTGACCACATTTACCTTTTCTGCACTTCCGCTCACATACTTCAGGACCAACCCTAGTTCTATCCTGATCTGATCCATTTTATCACGAATATCATCAGCAGATTGATTAGTTGCAGCTTGGACTGGAAATGTGTTTCTCCCAGTATCTAACTTTCTAGTGCTCTAAGCTTTATTATTTCAGGAAATTTTCTCCAGTTTCTCAGCGATCTGCTCAAAAGTGCACTCACCATATGAGCCTCCAGCGATGGTATCGAGCAAAACCTTACTATTGTCCTCCTGACCTCAGTAGAAGTATTCCTTCAGCGATTTATTATCAATACGGTGATTCGGGACACCTCTTATGAAAGCAATGAACCTATCCTAGGAACTACTCACAGACTCTCCAAGTAGTGCTATGAAATTGTTGAGTTTATCTTTGTGGTTCAGCTTCTTTGACACTGGAAAGAACCTTGCCAAGAACACCTTAGTTAATTGGTCCTATGTATATATTGATTTATAAGGGAGCTCACTAAACCACACAGCAACATCGTCGGTCAATGATAGAGGGAATACTCTTAATCCAATGACATCCATGTCTAAGTCCGGTCGACCCACACAAATTTTGCAAACACTCCTCAGCTTGGCTACGTGAGCATGTAGATCCTCCGACGTCAAACCAGCAAACAAACCCCTCGCTGTAAGCATCTACATCAAACAACTGGTCACCACAAATGTAAGCCTCAAAGGTAGAGAGGGTAGAACAAGAGGTTTGTCAGATTCAACAACATTAAAGTTGACCCTATAGTTATCATGCAGTCTTGGTCCTGGTGGATCCTGTACCCTCACTGCATCTCTCAGTAGATTCTTAGCTTGACCTGATTATTCTCATCACCAACTCTCGGAGGCTGCAACCCAACTCCATCACCTAAATTTCCTCCGATAGGATTGACTAGGACTCCTTGGTTATTCATCCTTCACAAAGTTCTGTTCAATTCTGGATCGTAAGGAGTAAGTGGTTCACCTTGGCTCCGTGTACTTGGCATACACTAGAGTAGGAACTTGAAAGAAACAAAAACAAAAGAAAAAGTAAAATTAGGAAATATTTGACTAAAGTTCAATAATATAGTTAAACTTAATCTAAAGGCCTTAATCACGGGCAGCGGCGCCAAAATTTGATACGCTCAAATTACACCTCCCTAAAGAAGCGTAAGAGATCGTTATCAACTAAAGAACCCAACTTGGAGGTTGGGGTCGATCCCACGAGGAATATGGTCTAGACTTAAGTTCAGCTTACGATTATATTCATTTAGTCAACGTACTTCTGAAACAAATAATTAAAGGAGGGGGGATTTGTGAAAAAAAATCTGAAAGTTATGTGAACAATTACTAAGCAAGATTCAAACTTTTGTTGTTATCAAGATGAGAGAGAAACTAGGGTGTACGTGTTCCCCATAAGCTCATAACGCGGTAATCCTAGTAATAGTAATCCTTTCCTAGTGTATTACATGCAAAGTGATAAGTTAGATATCTCTAATTCCTTGGTCTGGCAACTAGAGAATTTCACCCCGCACTTGGTCCGGCTACGTGTATATAATTTACTAACCCTTACCTTTACCTCATATTGGACATCACATCGATGTATAACTTAGTTTTCACCCTCGCACCAATTGACATTAGACTATTAGATAGTATCACACTAAATCTATGTTGATAATTCTTTTCTTATTAACTACCTCCTTGATCCAGCAAGTAGCAACAAGGCGAGTTCTAACGCGTGCACTCGTTAAAAAGACTTCTAAACGAAAGAATTATCAATGCATTCAATAACACTATTCAAGAATTACTTATTTACTATTCATACGTTGTTAATCGCTCATGGTTCCCACAACCCTAGTTGTGGATTTAGTTACCCATAGTAGAAAGAACACAATTCATATTTTTAGATGAAGGAATCATGAGCTGACGTAATGAGAAGAAAAAACCCAAAATCTCAACTTGAATTTCAAAGCCAAAATCTTCAAAACGAACTTAGGAAATCAAGAATTGCTAAAGTTGCAAGTTAATCTCCAAAGCCAAAACCTAGAACTAAAATAATAAAGTCTAACCCCCAAAAACGAGGTTTACATGCCATATAGATAGAAAAACAAATCCTAACTAATAAGGAAACGAAATAAGGAAATAAAGTTTCTAGACGCGGTTGTCATTGACAAGACTAACCTACGGACCATGGACTGACCTACGGTCCGTAGGTCCCTTTCGTGATCTGGGACTTAGGAAATTTTCACAACTTCAAAATCATCAACTCTCAGAAGCATTTGACGGCTCAGCAGGATGGACCGTGAGTCGATCCACGGTCCGTGAATCGCCCTCCGTGATCTCACACTTAGTTTCTTCAAATCAGGTACTGTAACACCTCCTTTGAATCATTTGACGGACTTGTTGTACGGTCCGTAGACCGAACTACGGTTCGTCAATCCTAGTCGTGGTTCCACACATAGTCAAGAATTCCCTGATTTCCTCTCTAATCTTTGCCCATCATCTACGCCCTTCACCTACGGACCGTGAATGGACCTACGGTCCATAGGTCACATTCATATATGGCTTTTTCTACAACATTCCTTCAACTGTCTCCTAACTCCCACGTCCAAACATATATCCTGCAAACTAGATAAAAACACATTAATACTACTACAAAATGGCTCTAGCCACACACAACTCTTAAGTGAAATGTATTAAAAATACCGTAAACTGACGGTATATCATGTTATATCCAACAAAGATACATTTCTTTGTTTTTTCATCAAGCTTATATCTAGCTTGGGAATTTATCGAAGAATAAGCTATACATCCAAAGACACATAAGGGGCTTACCTTGGGCTTGTTACCTCTCCTTGCTTCATATGGTGTTTGATTAAGAACAACCTTGGTGGGTGAAATGTTCAGCATGTAGACAACAGTAACAACAACTTCAGCCCAAAAATATTTTGGTACACCTCTAGCTTGCATCATGCTTCTACCCATTTCAACGACTGCCCGATTCTTTTGTTCGGCAACACCATTTTGCTCCGGAGTATATGGTGCTGTGAGCTCTCTGTGAATACCGGTTTCCTCGCAATAGGTGTTGGATTCATTTGATATAAATTCACCACCTTTATCTATTCTAAGAGTCTTAATTCTACAACCACTTTGTCTCGCTCAACAAACGACTTATATTTCTTGAAATTCTCAAATGTTGCAGATTTGAATTTCAAGAAATATACCCAACTCATTCGACTATAATCATCCGTAAAAAGTAGAAAATATCGACTTCCACCTAAGGACTCAACACTCATAGGACCACATAGATCAGCATGCACCAATTCAAGACAAACAGATGCTCTCCAAGACTTACCTACAAGAAATGAATTTCTATTTTGCTTCCCATACATACATCCAGCATAAATTCTAGGCAAATCAAGAACCTCATTTCTACGATCTAATAATTGTAACCCCTTTACATTCAAGTGACCATACCGCAAATGCCATAAATTACCTTCTGTATTGCCTTTGGTAATTAATGCAAAACTTTTAACATCAGAAACTTCAAGAGGAAACATTCTATTTTGAGTCATTTGAATGTCAACAATTTTGTGTCCTGAATTTTTATTTTGAATGCTACAGGAATTGTCATCAAACAAAATAGAATATCCACAATTCATCAGTTTCCCAACACTCAACAAGTTATAGTCCAAACAAGGAACATACTGCACATCATGGAGACATTTGACATTACCATGAGAAGGTTTTAGAGCGATTGTGCCTTTATCGTAGACTGTCATTGCCTTGTCATTTCCAATACAAACTTCTGACTTCTCTGATTCATCAAGTTCCTTTAACAAAGACCTTCTGCCCGACATGTGGTTGGAGCAATCACTATCAATGATCCATACGTCATCTGAACCAACATCTATTGAGGAGTGAGCTATGAACATATTACCTTATTCTTGTTGTTGCTCAGTGAAATTGGCATGCTGTTGTTCATCCTTCTGTTTAGTCCAGCAATCAGCTTCCTTGTGCCCCATTTGTCACCGTATGCCTTCATATGATTAAAAATTGCACTCACCCGAGATAAGTAGCCTTGCACAGATTCACTACTTTTCATGGATGAATTTTTAAAATCACGTCGGAGTGATTGGAGTTTAACAGTCATTACCTTTGTCGAGCCGTGTAACTCTTTTTTCAGAATATCCCACGCCTGCTTTGAGGTTTCTGCAATAGCAATTTTGGAAAAAATTGAGTCATGCATCATTTGCTGGATGTAACACAGAGCCTTGGAATCCTTCTTTTTGTTCTCCCGCAACCCTCTTGCTTCATCTTCCTCAGCATAGCCCTTCTCCACCAAATCCCACAATTCTTGAGACTTGAACAAAGTATTCATCTTTATGCTCCAAAATTCGTATTTATCCCCATTAAAGATGGGAATTAGTTGTTGAGATGTGGTAGATGCTCCATTGGTGGCCATTCTTTACTCTCAATTGTCACTTTCTTCTTGCTACTGATTTGCTGTTTGTTTCACCTAACCTAGCTCTTGATACCAATTTTGTTGGAGAATAAAGAAAGAAGAAATAACGTATAAGAAGATAAAAGAAGAGTTGTAGAGAACCTTCACGTTATATTTCTTATATATTAAAGAAAATACATAGGACACTTTAAATAGGAATTAAGAGTCAACCACCTAAGAGAAACATCACCCACTAACTTAACCACAACCTTATCCACTAAGCTAAATATTAGCAACTAACAGAGATATGCTTTGACTCAACTAGGACTCCTAACAAATGTGTTACTCTGCCAACTAAATAGGAACCTTTAATTACGTTTAAATCAATATTCAACATATTTTTCACACTCCCCCTTAAAGTGATTTTTTGGAAACTACCCCGCACTTGTCGTGGAAGAACTCAAACGAAGCTTTGTGCCACGTCTTGGTGAAAATCTCGACAGTTTCTTCCGAACTCCTCTTACTTCTTCAAATGATAAAAATTCTTCATTGCTAATTGATCCATGTAGATTATCTCCTTGTTGAGTTCTCAGGCTCCCCCTTTCTATTAACTTCTTGACAATTATATTATCTAGAGAAACACTATCAATTTCCTGTGAAGTCTCAACACCAACATATGATCCACTGCCATATCATCTCTTCGATAGATATTTTGAAAGGTTCATAACTTTCAAAAATCATATTGTTTGTATTTAAGACTTCAATATCAGCTTCTTTCTTTATTTGATCTCTACTTTCTCCATCTGCTTCTAGAGTTTTCTCTAAGCCATTAGTTGACCTTGATATTACAGATGTTTGACCATATACTTCCGCTTCCAATACATCTTCCTCAATGCTTTCTTGGTAAAGGTCGTCATTAGCACATATAGTTTCAGATACTGCCTGTTCAAGATCTTCTTCTTTGATTTCTTCAATAGCAGCTGCCTTGTCACCACTGGGAACATCATCCAAAATTTCTTACTTCATGCCGACAACATCAGTTTCTTGCTTCTCCATGTGATCGGCTATATTATATTCTAGATCCTCGATCCAGTCTCTTTCAAGATTGATGGAAATCATGCAATCTATTACTCGAGCCTTAACTACTAAATACTTTCCCCACTCTTCTTCTTCTTCAGCAACTTGTTGAGCCATATTACTGTCTTTGGCTTGGAAATATCTTTTTATGTGATCTACATCACCAGAACGATAACATCTGAGAGGCTTCTTACCATAATAGTTAAAAGGCTTTTCCTTCTTTCCAGGCGAGCTTGAATCACCTGCGGATCGAGAGTACGACATATCTCTTCATTTTCCTTTGAAGTTTCTCTTGTCGGCTACACGAGCATCTCCTTCTCCATCTTTGACGAACACACTAGCCAACTACTTGGCTAGTAAGTCCTGTGACGACAAAAAAATTTCAAATTCCTCTAAGGATGGCTATTGAGCCCATCCTTGAATCGACGTCAAAAAAATGGAATATATTAAGGTTTGAAACTACGAATGACTATTCTTCTCATTCGTGCTTCAGAAATAGCTTCTTCCGGATTCAATAAACATATCTCATAACATAAGTTCTTAATCTTCAAAAAATATTCGGTGATAGAAAGATTACCTTGAGTGGTGTTAGCCAATTCATTCTCTAATATCTGTAGCCGAGCTTCATTCTTCTTTTTATACAAGCGATCGAGGGTCCTCCATAATTCATGAGTTGATTTACACTTTATAATACGTTCGAATAAACCAGAGGAGATTGTCCTCTTCAGAATCAACTCTGCCTTCGCATTAATCTGCTTCCACTTCTTGTACACACTGCTATTTTCTGGTTCGTCAGCAGGAGGACTTGTGTTGCTCCCATTCCAACATCCCACAAATCCTCACCCACGAGGTATGATTCCATACATGCCTTCCATACTTTGTAATTGGACTGCTTCAACAACTCCATACCCAGTCCATTAACAAGACCGCTTAAATCTATCTACACAAACTAGTTGAATCTACCAACAACCTGATCTTGAAATAACACCCAGAAGCCAACGTATGACTATGGCTCTGATACCATGTAGAGAATAGCAGAAGAAAAGTATAATCGAGAAACCTTCTGCTAGCCCAAGATCATTAACTAAGATCAGAAGACTCAACTAAAGAAGAGGAAGCTAGAAGGGAGAAAGAGTATTTTGGATAAAAGAACTTTGTTATAGAAAAAAACTATTTGATTTGAGTTGTTCTTGGTTTAATTACAAATGCCTAATGTCACCCCTATTTATACTTGTATATGGATGCTTCTAGAAACTATTCTAGACAGATCTACAAGAAATATCTAGATATCCTTATCTTCTAACTATGTACGATATTTCAATACTTTACTATAAATATCTAATTATCTATAACATCTAGATTTTTCTTAAGTATAAATATCAAAGATATTTACTCTACAAAACTCTATAAAGTCTACTAAATATCAAAGATATTTTTTGTACCTCTAAAAAATCATCTTTATTTTTCACAGTAACAACACTCCAGCAGCGAAGGCAAGAAGCAATAGTTGTACGTGCTATGTAACAAATAAGGAAAATAATAAGCCATCTAATATAAAAGTGATTTGGTTGTAGGAAAGCATAAAAATCAGTTGATAAAAGTTAATACATCATTGTCAAAGAGCTAGAGTCTAGTACAAACAAGATGGATTATAAATCAAGAATGCTTGCTAGAGTACATCATTGTCAAAGAGAGGCATATGTATGAAGAGATATAATGGAAAAATGCAAAGAAAAATGGCATCAAGGAAATTTATATTCCAGTTTCATGACACACTTGATGAGGCAACAATCTGTAAGGATTAGACAAGATTCAGACGCCAAGTATAAGACGGAGTTGGAAAGAGCTAAAGAAAGAAGCTAATTGTAGTCCATACATAGAGAGAGCATATATATTTTGAAATTATACAAATATGATCTTGTAAATGTTTTCATCTCACTTTTAGATTTTTGGCCATGGTAAACATAATTCTTGCCTTAGAAATGTAGAAAAACTAAGTATATTGCTAAACGTCAAGTCAAATATTTATAGTAAATATAGGATGAAAAAACTAAAATTAATTCTAGCAAAAATCCTACATGAACTACAAACATTATTTAATATACTAACTTTATTTTCTTCTTTTTCATTTTCACCTAACATTTGATTAATTAATCTGTCAAACTGTGTTTTGCATTCATATTAACTATTGGATTCTTATTAGTACTGACATCTTATGTTTTTCTATGACCTGAACCACAAGAAAAGAAATAGATTGAAAAGTACAAATGCAAATACATTAAATGATGTAGTACACACCAAACAAATTGTATCGTATTATAAGGTAGAATTACACTACTGAAGGATGATAGAGATTTTTGCTCATAAATTATCAGATTAACAAATTTATTCAACAATAATCATCATCAGCTCCTTTTATTTTCAATAAAGGTTACTAGTAGAAGTGCTCAGATCAGCACACACCAACATATGTCGATGACGAACATAAGCATACAACTAATATACACAAATGCAGGAACACCAAAAAAAAGCTGTAAAAGGATACCTAGATGGAAACTCAAAATTGGAGAAAGTACAGAATTATGAAAAATTAATCATCCAACAAAGCATTTCAATAACATAAACATACCTCGAAGAGAAGAAAAGTTCAAGAAGAGAGACTTGGTTTCCTTTTAAAAAGATGGAAGTAATAGACGAATAACTTAATTTCCTCAACAAACCCAGATCAAACATAAGTGCCCTTTATTTATTACTAATGTTCTCTTCATGTTTTGTTTGTTTGGATTTATTTGCTTCTTTTGTACTGTTACAATGTGTTGTTTTTGCTTGATCAAATCTCCAATTACATATTTTATTGTAAGTTGTTCTTCTTTGCAATTTTTTTGTATGGTTTGTTCAGTTTTTTTTCTATAAGTTTAGCCAGTGATACTATTGTTTTAAACTAAGAAACATATTTACTTATTTGCTAGTTTATATTACTTACTAGATGATTTATGCCCGTCACTATAGCATGGGCACAACATTTTAAATTATTGACGCTTTTTTGCTATAAGTTACAACTTACAACAATCGTTTACTCATATGAACAAGTCACAATATTTATAATGGACCAGTTATTTGATGAGGTAATTCAATCAAAATTAATAAGGAAGCTAGTTGGCTAAGATTGCATACACTAAATTTTGCATCCTCTTATTGTCGTGTGACAAAAAATTGAAATATCATATGTTTTAACTTTACCTTTCGAATATGCATTACATATTCGAATTCATTTGAACAAGAAGAGATAAAAGAGGAAACTTGTTTTCATGCCAGAAAGTTCTTAAAAATATTTATGTTAAGAAAGTGTACGAACAAAAGAGGAAGACTTCTTTCGCACCTCCTCTTCTTTGCACATATCTACATCATCATATATAGAGCTTTTATCGCTTGCTTCTGTTCGATATGTCATGTCTCCATTTCATTCAATATCTAGTCATTCCTTTGAGCTCTCTCTTTTTCTTGAGTATCTCAGGAGTGAACAACTCTTTCTCTCAACCTCTTATTACAACCCGATCCATATTAACAATCAAGAAGCAATTCATTATAAGCGAGTTATATTTTACATACGTCTTAGTTGCGAGCCATCCGTGCAACAAAACAAACAACAAAAAAACTATTACTATACATGATAGGCTTGACCATGATAACATACCAAACTTTTAAATAGCAGGAAAAATATAAAGAAAATTAAGAAAATTGTCTTACCAAATATCATTAGAATAAGATAAGTTGATAAATATGAAGTAACAACTATGTTGTAATCTATAAGGACATCCATCTTATCATATAACATAACGCTCATGAACCAAATAGAGTTATTTTGAGTGCGCTGTCCTTCACGACCTTCTAGTAATGAATGAGTCCCATCACGAGGGCTTGCAAGAAGTTATTCTATAAAATGT